TTTTCTCAATGTATACTTAAACGTTGAGTTCAAGATCAAAGGGTCCAAATGATAAGAAACAACAATTCTGTGTGAATCCGTACTTGGAAATTCCTTGGGTTTTCCCCAGGAATGGTGAAGAAAAAACGACCAGTTGACGGTCATGTGATCGGTCTCTCGTCCAATGTAAAGTCGTATATAGTGTTACTTCATGTGGTCGATGTAGTTTTTGTACATATTTGTTTTTATTTCATTTCAGGTTTTTACATATATCTATTATATATAATTAGTTATTAGTTTCAACAGTCAGCTATAACACAGTGTATTTGTCATGTATAACCTACTAACTGCCCCCATGGCAAGTAGCTTTGTATGCTGATTGGCCTAAGTAAGAACTATTGTCAACCTGCATGCTTTGACTACACTGCATATTCTCTTAGCACATGAACTGACATAACTGCTCAGATCAGGAAAGAAAAGTGAGTGAGTGACTACGGTTTTACGCCGCTTTTAGCAATTTTCCAGCAATATCACGGCGGGGGACACCAGAAATGGGCTTCACACATTGTAGTCATGTCGGGAATCGAATCAGGAGTGAGTGAGTGAGATTGGTTTTACGCCGCTTTTAGCAATATTCCAGCAATATCACGGCGGGGGACACCAGAAATGGGCTTCACACATTGTACCCATGTCGGGATTCGAACCCGGGTCTTCGGCGTGACGAGCGAACGCTTTTACCACTAGGCTACCCGACCGCCCGAATCGAATCAGGAAAAAGTAAATATGTAATCTTAAATCAGGTGAGTTAAATGGCTGTAATCTCTATTTTGTGTTGTATTGAAATAGTACAATATGTTCAAAATGTTATAGGGCAGTCGGGTAGCCCAGTGGTTAAAGCGTCCGCACGTCACGCCGAAGACTCGGGTTCCATTCCCGATATGGGTACAATGTGTGAAGCCCATTTCTGGTGTCCCCCGCGCTGGCATTGTTGGAATATTGCTTAAAGCGGCGTAAAACCATACTCATTCACACTGTGTGTCATATATTCAGATCCATGAGTGTGGTGTTGCCGTAAGTGTGGCAGTGGGGATCCACACCCTTGTAGCACCTACAGGGGATCCATGAGTGTGGTGTTGCCGTAAGTGTGGCATTCGGGATCCACACCCTTGTCGCCCCTACAGGGGATCAATGAGTGTGGTGTTGCCGTAAGTGTGGCAGTGGGGATCCACACCCTTGTAGCACCTACAGGGGATCCATGAGTGTGGTGTTGCCGTACGTGTGGCAGTGGGGATCCACACCCTTGTAGCACCTACAGGGGATCCATGAGTGTGGTGTTGCCGTACGTGTGGCAGTGGGGATCCACACCCTTGGATCACCTACAGGGTATGCATTGCATTGTTTAAATTTGTCTAAGACTTAAGGTGTAATCTAAATGTTATGATCACATTTAATGTAATGTTATATAACATTAATTTCTATCTTAAAGTTTTGTATATGTTTACACAGAATGTGTAAGCGTTATGTATTTATTTTGTGTATATATTATATAGCCAATATAAAAGTCAAAGAGTTAACTTTGGATGTCATTATTGTGTGGTTGAGAATGTTGTACCTATTATTTATTATGTAATTATGTGTTTCAGTGTCTCATATCTTTGATCTGGGATCTTTGATCTTCTTATACAAGGCATCGCATTAAAGACCTCAAGCGTGTGTTTGTTCACGTCATGAAACGACATCCACTATACTGCTACATTCACAGAAAAAAGTATATGTATATAACTTGAATCATATGTAAACGAAACTATTTCCTGAAAGCTATCTCACTTGATTCTATATGCTAAAATGTGAGAGTAAATGCAACAAAATACACTTTCATTTTCATTACGTCTGATATTCTTTATGTATAGTATCAGCTGTATTGTTGTCAGTGATATGGATCTTGATGAAACGACATCCACTATACTGCTACATTCACAGAAAAAAAGTATAAATTATGTATTTAATTTGAATCATATCTAAAGGAAACTATTTCCTGAAAGCTATCTCACTTGATTCTATATGCTAAAATGTGAGAGTAAATGCAACAAAATACACTTTCATTTTCATTACGTCTGATATTCTTTATGTATAGTATCAGCTGTATTGTTGTCAGTGATATGGATCTTGATGAAACGACATCCACTATACTGCTACATTCACAGAAAAAAAGTATAAATTATGTATTTAATTTGAATCATATCTAAAGGAAACTATTTCCTGAAAGCTATCTCACTTGATTCTATATGCTAAAATGTACGATTACATGCAACAAAATACACTTTCATTTTCATTACGTCTGATATTCTTTATGTATAGTATCAGCTGTATTGTTGTCAGTGATGTGGATCTTGATGAAACGACATCCACTATACTGCTACATTCACAGAAAAAAAGTATAAATTATGTATTTAATTTGAATCATATCTAAAGGAAACTATTTCCTGAAAGCTATCTCACTTGATTCTATATGCTAAAATGTGAGAGTAAATGCAACAAAATACACTTTCATTTTCATTACGTCTGATATTCTTTATGTATAGTATCAGCTGTATTGTTGTCAGTGATATGGATCTTGATGAAACGACATCCACTATACTGCTACATTCACAGAAAAAAAGTATAAATTATGTATTTAATTTGAATCATATCTAAAGGAAACTATTTCCTGAAAGCTATCTCACTTGATTCTATATGCTAAAATGTGAGAGTAAATGCAACAAAATACACTTTCATTTTCATTACGTCTGATATTCTTTATGTATAGTATCAGCTGTATTGTTGTCAGTGATATGGATCTTGATGAAACGACATCCACTATACTGCTACATTCACAGAAAAAAAGTATAAATTATGTATTTAATTTGAATCATATCTAAAGGAAACTATTTCCTGAAAGCTATCTCACTTGATTCTATATGCTAAAATGTACGATTACATGCAACAAAATACACTTTCATTTTCATTACGTCTGATATTCTTTATGTATAGTATCAGCTGTATTGTTGTCAGTGATGTGGATCTTGATGAAACGACATCCACTATACTGCTACATTCACAGAAAAAAAGTATAAATTATGTATTTAATTTGAATCATATCTAAAGGAAACTATTTCCTGAAAGCTATCTCACTTGATTCTATATGCTAAAATGTGAGAGTAAATGCAACAAAATACACTTTCATTTTCATTACGTCTGATATTCTTTATGTATAGTATCAGCTGTATTGTTGTCAGTGATATGGATCTTGATGAAACGACATCCACTATACTGCTACATTCACAGAAAAAAAGTATAAATTATGTATTTAATTTGAATCATATCTAAAGGAAACTATTTCCTGAAAGCTATCTCACTTGATTCTATATGCTAAAATGTGAGAGTAAATGCAACAAAATACACTTTCATTTTCATTACGTCTGATATTCTTTATGTATAGTATCAGCTGTATTGTTGTCAGTGATATGGATCTTGATGAAACGACATCCACTATACTGCTACATTCACAGAAAAAAAGTATAAATTATGTATTTAATTTGAATCATATCTAAAGGAAACTATTTCCTGAAAGCTATCTCACTTGATTCTATATGCTAAAATGTGAGAGTAAATGCAACAAAATACACTTTCATTTTCATTACGTCTGATATTCTTTATGTATAGTATCAGCTGTATTGTTGTCAGTGATATGGATCTTGATGAAACGACATCCACTATACTGCTACATTCACAGAAAAAAAGTATAAATTATGTATTTAATTTGAATCATATCTAAAGGAAACTATTTCCTGAAAGCTATCTCACTTGATTCTATATGCTAAAATGTACGATTACATGCAACAAAATACACTTTCATTTTCATTACGTCTGATATTCTTTATGTATAGTATCAGCTGTATTGTTGTCAGTGATATGGATCTTGATGAAACGACATCCACTATACTGCTACATTCACAGAAAAAAAGTATAAATTATGTATTTAATTTGAATCATATCTAAAGGAAACTATTTCCTGAAAGCTATCTCACTTGATTCTATATGCTAAAATGTGAGAGTAAATGCAACAAAATACACTTTCATTTTCATTACGTCTGATATTCTTTATGTATAGTATCAGCTGTATTGTTGTCAGTGATATGGATCTTGATGAAACGACATCCACTATACTGCTACATTCACAGAAAAAAAGTATAAATTATGTATTTAATTTGAATCATATCTAAAGGAAACTATTTCCTGAAAGCTATCTCACTTGATTCTATATGCTAAAATGTGAGAGTAAATGCAACAAAATACACTTTCATTTTCATTACGTCTGATATTCTTTATGTATAGTATCAGCTGTATTGTTGTCAGTGATGTGGATCTTGATGAAACGACATCCACTATACTGCTACATTCACAGAAAAAAAGTATAAATTATGTATTTAATTTGAATCATATCTAAAGGAAACTATTTCCTGAAAGCTATCTCACTTGATTCTATATGCTAAAATGTACGATTACATGCAACAAAATACACTTTCATTTTCATTACGTTTGATTTTCTTTATGTATAGTATCAGCTGTACATGTATTGTTGTCAGTGATGTGGATCTCGATAGTGTCATTTAGTGTAGTATTACTCAACAGATATCTAGATGCCTTCACACGTTTGTACGTATTGATGGAACTTGGACTGTTTATGGTAATGAATTAAATCATCACCAAACATTTGAAGCCTTTGGAAATACTTCATCAAATAAAACAGGTAATGCCAGCGGACACGTCTTTTTGAACACAGTTAAGGCATTGTTATAGTACAATTCCATTTCATCATGAATCAAAACCGACGATGCAATCCGTAAAAAATCAATAATTGGTTCTACACTTCATCAAACGTAAAAGGGACGTCTGTTTTATCATTGTCATGGCAACATGTTCATAGAATACCAGTAAATTCCATGACGAGCAAAAGTCGTCAATGCAATCTGTATATAATGAATGCATTCATGGCTCGGTTGTTATATAAATAAAACTCAGTTTGATTGTGTCTGTGAGTTGCTGACCAGCTGCAGTGAAGGTACGTTGTTCTTCTGCTGATATCTATATGACAACTTTTCATGCAATGTTACTTGGGGTGACGTTTCTTTTGCGGTTCAGTATATTATCAAAACATGTTTTGACAGAGTCTTCATTGTTTTCTGGGGGGCACGGGTGGCCCAGTCGTCTAAGGCTCCGCGATTCGCTGTGCAGAGTAACGTCCCTTGGGCACGCCAGAAACCTATGATTGTGGGTTCGAATCCCGGTTCGCCCCGATTATGTTTCCATGTTTGTCAGCACCATACCCGTGCTCGTGGGTTTCACGGGTGGCCCAGTCGTCTAAGGCGCCGCGATTCGCTGTGCAGAGTAACGTCCCTTGGGCACGCCAGAAACCTATGATTGTGGGTTCGAATCTCGGTTCGCCCCGATTATGTTTCTAGGTTTGTCAGCACCATACCAGTGCTCGTGGGTTTCACCGAAGTGGTAAACGTCTGAGACCTGCATCACTTCCGGCTTTCCTCCCACATTAAGCTGACACGCTGTGATATAACTGTAATACTGTTAAAAGCGGCGTATAAACCCAATTCTCACACACACACACACACACACACACACACGCACACGCACACGCACACACACACACACACACACACACACATATGTGTGCATATACTACGATTATACCTGTATCGTCTCTCGTCAATGTTATGGGCCAGGAATATTTGATGTGTATTTAGAAACGACCTTCACCTTTTTTAATTGAACATCAGAGATTCCATCTTCGTGAATCTGGCAATTGTAGATCTTGTGCGTTTTGGCTATTCAAAAAATGTTCGAAAGTTAGTCAGAGCGTTTCCAAGGAAATACAAGTCTAATGAGAATGAGGGTAAGATGTGTTATCAATGTCGAACTCGTTAACATTTGTTTATTTTTCCATGACTCTGTGCAATTCTACCAGGCTAACAAACACTGTTACCTAGTACAGACACAGGCACTAGTTTTTCATCTACAATTAAGTTTGTGACCCGTGAAGATTCCGGGGTAGAATATAGGTCTTCAGGAACCTATACTTGCCGTAAAAGGTGACTTTGCTTGTCGTAAAAGGCGACTAACGGGATCGGGTAGTCAGGCTCGCTAACTTGGTTGATGCATGTCATCAATCCCAATTGCGTGGATCGATGCTCATGATATTAATCACTGGATTGTCTGGTCCAGACTCGATTATTTACAGACCGCCGTCATATAGCTGGAATATTGCTGAGTGCGGCGTTAAACAACAAACCAACCAACCAACAATTAAGTTTGTAAAGGAGGGATACATATGTCTTCTTATTGGTCTAAGCAACGTTAGTAATTCTTTCCTCCATCTGTAAAAATGTTTCTCAACTTCAGTAAAATGATCGTCCTACTTGTCGTCCTCGTCCTCGTCTGTGCCCCGGATGTCATGGCGCAGAATGTTGGTGGCCGTGGTGGCCTTGATGGACGTCGGAACCCTGGAAGAATTGTGACACGATCGATTGCGTCAAAGGTAATTTCCGACTTTTACAGTTAGTGAGTGCATATGTTTCTGTGATATTCCAGCCATATGGACATACAGGACACAGAGAATGCGAGGAATGAAGTAGTCTTTGGACAATTTGAATCCTATGATATATTTTGTGGATTAGGACTACAATACATACAATTTCTTTCTGTGACAGGAAGTAAACTCAATTCTCTGCCGACAAAAGGTTATTTTACAGAATAAAAGCGACAAAAATCCATATTCAAATGGAATCTCTACCAAAAGCAGAGTCGATTGTACGATTCTGACTAGTCTATATCATGGTGTGTTAATGAAGGTCCAATGAACGTCGAATTATAATATTTGTATAAATATAATAAACATATATTTAGTTTTCAGCATTTACAGGAAATTATTATTTTAGATTTTGAATATGAACCTGATGACGGTTCCAGCGGAGCATCATGGTCATTACTCGCTCTTCATTTTCTAATCAAAGCCACGACTAGTGTAATTAATATTTTTTGTTGGTTTGTTGTTGAACGCCGGACTGTATGACGGCGGTCAGTAAATAATTGTGTCTGGACCAGACAATCCAGTCACTGACATCATGAGCATCGATCCACGCAATTGGGATCGCGCGATCGATGACATGCATCAAACGTCAGCGACCCTGACCACCCGATCCCGTTTGTCGCCTCTTACGGCAAGTATAGTCGCCTTTTACGGCAAGCATGGGTTGATGAAGTCCTATTCTACCCCGGATCCTCGCGATCCTTCGTTTATTCCGACAATTCAACAGGTTTAACAATGTATCACTGAATTATTTACAGAGGTGAACTTCGTATCTGTATATAGTTTTCCATGTTTCAGCTGACGCCAGACAACACCATGGAACGAAGACCATTAGAAAAGCTTGGCTAACATTTCTGTCGACAGAGCACACTTGGTCAGCTTGCCAACCTTCTTGTGTCCAAGATGAAAGAGCACAATTAAATACATTAAAATCTAGTTGTGTTTTTTGTTCAATGTAGCAACCATAACCTTTCTATCTGCAAGGGGGGGGGGCACGGGTGGCCCAGTCTAAGGCGCCGCGATTCGCTGTGCAGAGTTGCGTCACGCCAGAAACTTATGATTGTGGGTTCGAATCCCGGTTCGCTCGATTATGTTTCCATGTTTGTCAGCACCATACCCGTGCTCGTGGGTTTCACCGAAGTGGTAAACGTCTAAGACCTGCATCACTTCGGGCTTTTCTCCCACATTAAGCTGACACGCCGTGATATAACTGGAATAATGTTAAAAGCGGCGTTAAACCCAACTCACTCACTCACTCACTCAATCTGCAAGGCAGCGGACTGCAACTTCACCACTGCCTGTACTTAAGTTCATTCCCCTACGCGCATGAGCAACATGGGACGCAACCCGTGTGCACCAGGTTGGTCACTCGCGTGGAACCCGTCTGCCACGCGCGTGACGCTCTTGCAGACTATATTTACATCATGAGCATGTGTTTGATGAATCACTATCACATAGTAATGATACCAGGTGTTCCGAAAGGGTGAGCGTATCCTGCCCCACCGGTGGGGTCCGTCACAAATACATGCAAAGGCAAGTCAATTGTTCACCTGAAAAAACATGGGACCATATGGTACAAGTCAAAATGGGGAATTGCATCGGACATCATTTTTGTCACTGATGCGTCAAATTTGGAAATGTCCTCCACATGTCTACCATAAAACTTTTTGAAAGCTTTAACCTTGATAAAACAACGTTTGAGCAAGAGTTGTATGATGCTCTTTGAAATCTTGGTAGAAAGAGCATGCTCGATTGTATCTCAAAAGTTGTGAAATGTAAACACCAAAGGGTGTGTAACCGGGGCTGTTCATTAATAACACGGGTTGTTGTATGTGAGGGGGGTGTATTGACGACGTTATTCAGAACAAACGCCGTGAAACATCCACTTCAAAATAGATATACACGTACATAAATATGTGAAGGTTCATTTCACTCACATGCAATCATAGTTATGTTCATTCACATCGTCACACGGAGATCATAATATACTGATAACCAAATGTACATATGTATCCTTTTATAAGTCTGGAAGGTAATTTAAGGTACCGACGTTTACTAGTAATGCGAGGGCGACAGCTTCAAGATTTGCAGATGCAGAAGGTGCTGTAAGGCCGACATCTACCGATTTAACAGATGCAGGTAGTGATGCCATGTCAACAGCTGCAGGATTTGCAGATGCACGGTTTATTCTCCCTGCAGTGTTTTATTGTGCGATAAACAACACCAATTAATCGTTTATTTCTTAAATATGTCGACTAAAGGTTAATTCATGCCCTTTTCACAACAAGGACTTGCACCACAGCGAACACGAGTCGCACCTAAACATTCTATCTACTGCCATGTCACTGTAAGCTCATGGCATGGAACCATTCGACGATTAGCATTTAGAGTTGTTGCCTCTTTCATAAAACCTTGGTAGTGTGGTGAACTCATAAACACGTTTCAGTTATGTTGTGCGCGTGTTTCTATATTTTGCATGTCTTATTTACATAATACAGATGTTATTTTTATTATGCTGTCGCTGAAATAATGCCGATGCGACGTTACATTTTACCTCACTCACTCACTCACTTTATTACGCGTGACTTATTTAAATAATACAGATGTTATTTATAGTATGCACAACATATTTATATGATACAGATGTTATTTTTATTATGCATAACATATTTATATGATACAGATGTTATTTTTATTATGCGGTCGCTACATGGCTGAAATAATACCGATGCGACTTTACATTTTAGCTCACTCACTCACTCACTCACTTTATTATGCGTGACTTATTCAAATAATACAGATGCTATTTATATTATGCATAACATATTTATATGATACAGATGTAATTTATATTATGCATAACATATTTATATGATACAGATGTTATTTTTATTATGCGGTGGCTACATGGTTCAAATAATGCCAATGCGACGTTAAATTTTACCTCACTCACTCACTTTATTATGCGTGACTTATTAAAAAAATACAGAAGTTATTTATATTATGCATAACATATTGCTATGATACAGATGTGATATATATATATATATATATATAAAGCTTTCTCCGATGTTCCATGCCCACACGAATGCTCTGGGATCGAAGATACTTCATACATGGATCTATCGGTACTGAATTCATATCAGGAGTAACGCATATAAACCATCAGTGAACTTCCATGCTATGAAGACAATAGAGCTAACAATCACATACAGTGCAAGTTTTATGTGGAAAAATTCGATTGGGCGAATGTTTTGCGATCCCATCAATATATTCTGTATGAAATCGAATGTGGTCGTGCAAAATAGACGGATGCTTTCGAACACAGGATACTTTAGGAACCTTCACCAGCCTCAAACTCTGGAACAAAAAAACACAAGGAGCTTAGGTGAGTGACTGAGTGAGTTGACATTTTAAGTCACATAGGCAATATTTCAGCCATACCGCGACTAACAAGGGTTAAATATAATAAATACAATTAAACATATATAGAAACCTGCCAACGAAGGACAGTAACATTACCAGACTTATCACAGAATGAGTGAGTGAGCTTAGGATCACCACGGGGCACATCCAACATCATATATACAGCGAGTGCCTCAAACGTCATCGGATCTAAAGCTAAAGATTGCAAGCACGGTTACACACCATACAACAGGAATCCCGAGGGCACTCAGATGAGACGAATTCCTAATAACCAACTGTATATACAGCAACACCCTTCACAGACAATCCCGATTTCTGGTGTCCCCCGACATGATATTGCTGGAATATTGCTAAAAGCGGCGTAAAACCATACTCAGTCAGTCAGTTACAGACAATCCACAGAGTTCTAATAATTGTTTCATTCGGTTACTTGCTCTGATTTTCAACTGAGGTTCCACACTGAGAGAGGGAAAGCTGCCTGTGTTTTCCAGTATTAACATTGACTTTCTCACGAGGGAGCTAGTAAATTACAGTGATACAGAGATGATACTTTCATGACTTTCGTGAGGCTACATCAAGTCTCCTCCTCCATTACCCAAAGCTGATCATCAAAATCATCAATCAGCCAGATCCATTCAGATAAATTCATTTTAATGGAGCTTCAATATGAGGCTATTTTGAGCGTATTTGTTTCAAAACCGCTATGTTTTCTCCACAAACTCCCGCATGTACATATTTGAAGGAGAGGTTTCTCAGGCGTCAAGATGACACAGATAGTGCAGATACCACAAAAGCTGAGGAGGACTTAGCAATTTTGCAGAACCTCATCCCAGAGACGTTACTGGTTCAAACCTTCAAATACATCGAACTGTTTACTAAAGTTTTCTTATGATACCTCTCTAAATCGGGAGATTGAGGGAGATTGAGGTCTAGAGGTTAAAGCGTTCGATCGTCACGCAAAAAAGCCGGGTTCAATTTCCAAAATAGGTACAAATTCTGTATCACCAGCCGTGATATTGCTGGAATATTTCTAAATGCGGCGAAGAACCATACACACTCACTTTATTATTGTGATAGTGTTAAGAGTTGGGATTATCATTTTTGTATGAAAACGTGAATCCCATTTTTATGTATGAATCTTATTTAGATCCAAAGGCGGGAAGTATGTCACCATGATAAGAATGTCATGTCATACCTTACGCATTTAAACAGGTCGTTACGAAAGTGTGAACAGAGAGTTAACATTTTGTAACTATTGTTTTAGCGAAAATACAATTTCTTACTTGTATGCCATAGGTATTGAACATTCCACCATACATGTACCATAATCAGATATTGTTCGGCCTCGAGCTATATTCTGTAATTATACCAATATTATTTGAGATGAGGGATTGAGTGAATACAAACCCATCTGTTTCTGTCACTCTGTTTTTCATGACAGCAACGTAAAAGACTATATGGTGTGTTGATTTCAAAAGATTACTTCATCATAGATTTTAACTTCGTATGTGAATTTCCCCGTGAAGAATGAGTGAGAAAAGATTATATTAAATGTAATAACTAACCACGAGGAAAAAGTATGGGCATATAATTATCATGTAGAACTGGCCTGTCTCGATATTATAAATATCCTTTCCATATTCATAAGAGATCTCTACCAAAAGTGAGGTGAGGTGAAATGGGGTTTAACGTCGCGTCCAAGATTATTGCACTTAAATAGCGACGTGCATGTACGTGTGTGTGTTTGTGTGGCTGCTTGTACTAGTCCGGACTGATGCCGATTTATAGTGCTAGCCCACTGAGATACAATGCCGCAGTTTAACATGAATACCCCACTCAGACACAGTATACTGACGCCGAGCCGACCAGTCCTTGTTTTAGCCCCTTAATGCCGAGCGCCAGACAGGGTAACAACAAGTACCATCTTTTAACGTCTTTTGGTATGACGCGGCCGGGGATCGAACCCCGGACCTTCCGCTCTCCGGGCGGATGTTCTACCACTAGACCACGGAGGCGGTACCGATCTCTACCAGAAGCAGTGTCTGTTGTACGATTAACACTAGATCATGTTTATGAATCACTATAAAATCCATACAACGCTTACTCCTCATGTGTTGTGATGTTATATTCAGACATGAGAGAAGAAATACAGCATATATTAAGGATTGGATTCAGAAGTAAAATATTAAAGGAATTTACAAAATGTAATACCTTTGCTAAAATTTATTCTCACCATGTCATCTTAAACTGTGAATGTATACTTCCAGAGAGACGTATTCTTTTCGACCCTAATTGATAATCTTGACGATGAAACGTATGTCAAAATAGAGGACGTTCTAAGCTCGTATAGTCTTCATAGTCATATGATGAACTTGGTAAAATGTTTTATCATATGTTCTGCCCATTTACTTGTGTTTGCAATATACATGTAAAAATATATATATAATTGTTTAAATGAATAGTATCTCTGAACACACAGTGCCATTAGAAAGTGGTCAAATGTAACAATTGTTATATTTTGGATAACACTTTCCTTGTGAAGTACAGATTCCAGTACCTTTTTTGTTCAAGTGACGTCCGGGATTCGAACACACACTGACAGAGTGAGGCACCCAGTCGCTAGCACACAAAGTCAGTGCGAGAATCTGTACTTTACAAAGAAAGTATTGTCCCAAATATAACATTTGTTACATTTGACCACTTTATAAAGGGCATTGTGTGTTTATAGCTTTCGGCCATTGGAGCCCTGCCAATGTACACTTGTCAGAGGGGTACACAAAGTACGTGATCTAGACAACCATTTATCGGACTTTTATTATTGTGGAAGCCTCGATGGCTGAGTGGTTAAGATCGCTGACTTTGTGTGCTGGCGACTAGGTGCCTCACTCTGAGAAGTATAGTTTCGAATCCAAGATGGGACAATAGCCAAACACAAGTACCAGAATTTGTACTTTACTAAGAAATTGTTATCCCAAATATGACATATGTTACTTGAATTATATTGCAACAGTTATCTTGCTCTGTATTCTTTATTCTATATTCTTCCTGGGTACAAAAATCGCCTTGGATTTTGGGTACTAATTCGTTTTGGATAAAAATCACCTACATTCACTTTCAACTTAGGAATTCAACAGACTTTTACCGAAATATCTTTTATATTTGACAATATTTATTTTCATTTACGTATTTATCACATACGGTTTTAGAAACTTAGCCAACATAGGCGATTTTTGCATTAATACTGATGTACATAAGAAAAGAGTGAGTGAGAGAGTTGGGTTTAACGCCGCTTTTAACAGTATTCCAGTTATATCGCGGCGTGTCGGCTTAATGTGGGAGGAAAGCCCGAAGTGATGCAGGTTTCAGACGTTTACCACTTCAGTGAAACCCACGAGAACGGGTATGGTGCTGACAAACCTAGAAACATAATCGGGGCGAACCGGGATTCGAACCCACAATCATTGGTTTGTGGCGTGCCCAAGGGCGCCTTAGACGACTGGGCCACCCGTGCCCCCCATAAGAAAAGAATATGAATTTTGATTTATATGAGAATACAATGATTTGTGTTTTTCTTGCAGGTGATATTAACAGTATTGTGGTAACATATTTTCTTATAGTACAATACTGACAGGAGTGATGGTTTCTAGAATTATGACCAGAAGAAAGGTATGCCTGATGAAATAATAAATACAAAACAACCCAAAGAATGAACATATTGAAAGCTATTTCCTGTTTAAATTCAACTTAATGTTAACATTGAACCTTCCTATGATCCAAGGCATCATGGTATTATTGCCAGTCCCACTTTGAGATCTCCGTGATCCTGTGGGAAGAGCGTCTGCCCATAGAGCGGAAGATCGAACGTACCAAAAGACGTAAAAAGATGATACCTGCCTTCGGCTCGAAACGGTGTAGGAAGTCTGAGTGGGTTATTCATTAAAACTGAGGCATGAGATATCAATGGGTAAGCACACAAAAACACACGCACACGGACAGACATACATGCCCACACACGCAGACACACATGCACACAGCAAGACCATTCAAAGTTTGTGACGTGTGAAAAAGCAATTAGTAGAATAACTTTATTAGCAAACAAACTGACTACAAAGTTTCTTGCGTAAGATGAAAAATATGGTTTACATGTATATATTCCCTTTCATGAGTCATTAAAATATTTTCTTATGATTCGTCGCAGAGAGGTTACCACCTCTCAAACATGGTGGGATTGATCTTTTGATATATCATATGTCCTCTTTTATTATTATTACTATTAGCAGATTAAAATAAAGAAAATGCAGCAAAGAGGGTTTTGGTGATCCTGGCAGTCAGGCGGGTTAGGCTCATCATCAGCTCAGCGCCCTTGCCCCCCAGACAGCGAATAGGACTTTTCCCAGGAAGCACTGCCAAGTCAAACCCACCCAGAGCTTTTCGGAGAATGTGAAGACTCCCCAACACTGCAGCCTTCTGCATTACCCAGATTGTCAGAAGGGTTGTATTCCTTGCAGCAAATTATTATGCCATTTTATTTATTTATTTATTTTATTTACTTATGTATTTTCAGTTTATTTTTATGTTTTGGGGTTGTTTGGCTGGTATTCAGGGAGGTTGAGATTGTTAATTAAAGGAATGTGTTCTAGAGCCAAAGCTTCCTCTTCCAAAGTTTACGTCATGGCGCCGCGTCAGTGCCGCATGGTAGACTCTTACATTCCCTGGGGCTCGAGTGGCCAAGCTGTCTTAGGCACTGTAGTTCGCGGGCGGTCGGGTAGCCTAGTGGTTGAAGCGTTCGCTCGTCACTCCGAAGACCCGGGTTCGATTCCCGACATGGGTACAATGTGTGAAGCCCATTTCTGGTGTCCCCCGCCGTGATATTGCTGGAATATTGCTAAAAGCGGCGTAAAACCATACTCACTCACTCACTCACTCACTCACTCACTGTAGTTCGCTGTGAAGAGTGGCATCACTTAGGCGTACTTGAAAAGAATAGTGGTGGTATACATGGCCAGATGCACGCAAATCATGTTTCTACGTTTATCAGAACAAACCAGCACTCGTGGGTTTCGGATGTCATCAAAGTGCTAAACATCGAGGACCTGCACCCTTTACTGCTTTCCACCTGCATAAAACTGACACACCGAGTTCAAAGAGGCGCTAAACCATAGTTATCTCACGCACTCTTACACTAACTCGGCATCTTTGCATGAGGGGGCACGGGTGGCCCAGTCGTCTAAGGCGCCGCGATTCGATGTGCGTCCCTTGGGCACGCCAGAAACCTATGATTGTGGGTTCGAATCCCGGTTCGCCCCGATTATGTTTCTAGTTATGTCAGCACCATACCCGTGCTCGTGGGTTTCACCGAAGTGCTAAACGTCTGAGACCTGCATCACTTCGGGCTTTCCTCACACATTAAGCTGAGACGCAGTGATATAACTGGAATACTGTTAAAAGCGGCGTTAAACCCAACTCACTCACTCACGCACTCTTTGCATGAACTGACCGATGGAGAGCCTATTCTTTAAACCGTAGCTTGTCACGCCAAAAGCCTAAATTCTGGTGTCCTCTGTCGTGTTGTTGCTGGATTATTGCTTAAAAAGCGCAAAGCCATTCTCGCTCACCTTCCTGGAACCGGTTTAGAGTACGCCCCCACCACCAATTGCTGGTCGTAAGAGACGACAGTTTCACAGCAAAAAAATGCAGTTTCCGGTATCCGTGATATTTGTGATCGGATGATCAGGCTGTGTGACTTGACAGTTTTCCTGTCATCGTGTCCCGTGAATCGTTACTCTGGTTTCAGCCGCTGATTTTCCTAGTCAAGATTCTTTACAGTGAGTGAGTGAGTATGGTTTGACGCCGCTTTTAGCAATATTCCAGCAATATCACAGCGGGAGACACCACAAATGGGCTTCACACGTTGTACCCACGTCGGGAATCGAACCCGGGCCTCCGGCGTGACGAACGAACGCTTTAACCACTAGGCTACCCGACCGCCCCAGATTCTTTACAAGCCACCGTGACAATGACGGATGATCTTATCGCATCTTGACTGACCACCCTCACTTAAGTTCATAACGTTTATCGATGTCGACCTGGGTCTCCCCACTTTGTTACATAAGACCCCGAACAGGGATTTTAATTGTCTAATTTGCATTTGCCATTCAACATCTCAAATCTGACATCAGCGAGAAGTGAAGGTGTTTGGAATGTATCTCCTACTCGATTTAAATTCACTCCATGTGTTTGTAACAGGTGCAGGATAAGCTTACCTCTTCGCGAACACCTGGTGTCACTACTATTCTTTAGCGATTCATAAACACATACAGTTGATCAAGTCGGAATCGTACAATTAATTCTGCTTTCAACAGATATTTGGGAAGAGGTTTGTCGCTTTCATTTCTAAGAGCAAAACAAAGACATAATTGCTTTATGCATCTCTTTATTGTCTATGTACCGGTACTTCGACGTTGTCTGAAATACAGAAAGTTAAGGTGAAGAATTATAGCTTTTTAGTCCGAAATTAGTGATTATGACAAGTTTTGAAATATTGATGATATAGCTTATATAAATATCAAAATAATGCACCTTATTACGTAACATAGAGTTAACATGGTGAAAAGTACTTACCAATAGTCAGTGACTCTCAAACATATTCAGTGTCTTCAGTATCTCCCGCTTTTTCGCCTAAAACAATGGAATACCAATTCTGTTACTAAACCCTTAAAGTTTTCACCAAGTTTAATAATCTATTGCTACGTCAATCGGAAACGTACTGACCAAATATTTACATGTGTTTTATATCTGTCTTTTTGACAGTTTATTTCGAGGTTGAGTTTGTCCCCAGCAACTTAAGTTATACTTGTCCTACGCGTCGACACACTGCACCGGGTGATCAGGCTCGGTAGATGGCGTGTCATACCCAACAGCGTTTCTTTTGCTTATGATATCAACCGCTGGTTTGTCTGATCCAGATTCGATTATTTACATTTCGCCATGATATAGCTGTAATATTCATTGCTGGAATGTAGCGTACAATAAATCAAAAATAATAAACAATTGTACTTACGTTTCTCAACAACCTGTTGCAGCAAGCTTTGAAGACCATTTTCCAGAATGTCAGTCTCTCGTTTATCAAGATCTTCGTCGATATGATCGACATCTCGGGCAGCCCGGGAAGCTAAAAAGTATTGAACCAATTCATACACGTCCATAATTTATAAGTCTCCTTCGCATTATATTAAATTAGCGCCTGAACATGGACATATACTGACCCGTTTTGAAAACGCACCAACATGAATCCATGAAAATATGATAGTTGGAAAAGAACAACGAAAATACCCCATAGTTAGGACTAAACTGTTGTCAGGTTTGATAGCTGTTGTGAGTCGTCACCGAAACGCAGAAGAGAACAGTGCTCAAAAACACGTTTTTACACGTACAAAGCACGAAAAATGCAAATTTTCATTTCCTTTTCGTGCAGATATGGGGTAACAAGGGATGGCATTCAAAGGCTGTAGCCGCGGAATTGCACTGAGGACGCAATGCCGAGACTGATACTGATACGGGAACGTGCCGTCATCCTTTCGTAAGCTCGATTCTGACCCTAAGGCACCGACATGCGCGTCTACAATTGTCGCTAGGGCACAGACAACGGTGACATGGTGTTCTCGTCTCTGGGAATCCAGGTTTCACCCCAGGAACGCCGACGGACGTATTACGGTATGCATAGGTCGTGTTACTGCAGTTTACTACAGGGACGCCACGCTGTCCTGTTTCTGTCAACACCAAGAGCTGCATACGTTCCAACAGGACGCCGGAGCAGACACAACAAGTGCTTTTGTGGACTTCCTGGCACAGAATAACGTACCTGTTATGCCATGGTCTGTATCATCTCTTGATATATCGCCAATTGAGCACTAGTGGGACTACCTGGGACAGCGCATTGCACGTCAACCTCCAAACGCCAACGTTGGAGAGCTGGCACTTGTCGTGCAACGTCAGTGGCGTAGGACACCACACGCTGTTATCCAGAGACTGATAGTGTCCATGAGAAGGCGTTGTGTGGCATACACTGCAGCCAAGGGCGGTCATACCCGGAACTGACTCTGTCTTTTGACCCCTTGTGTGTTCAATTTCCTCTACGTAAAAATTGTGTACTTTCCAATGACACTTGTCTTCACTCATGAGGAACTATTATCTGAGTTGGATTGTAGTACACAGCCAACGCCATACCAAATTTGCTTTGGCGTCAATTTAACTGTTTACCTCTAGTGCGTATTCAATGCGTTTCAGTATAGTTCAGGTTATGTGTACAAGTTACATGATAAAGGCGCTGAGGTTACAGCGTCACTTGGGGGTTCGAATGCAAGTGTCGCCCTGTTTACGTTTCTTGTTTTTCAGTACCAGGGCTTGAGGGTCTTATCAAAGTGGTAGTTAAAAACGTGTTAGATCTGCATCAATTCCGCCGTTCCCCCCACATAAAGCTGACATGTCTGATCTAAGTGGTATTCTAGAATGGGGTAAACCAAATTCACACTCTCTTACATTCTCCCGGTATTTTTTCTCGAATCGGCGGTTGGGTAGTCTAGTGATTAAGGCGTTTGCTCGTCGCATGTAAGCCGAGGGTTCAATTCCCCAGATAGATACAATATGTTAAGCCCATTTCGTGTGTCCCCCGCAGTGGTATTGCTGGAAAATTGTTACAAGCGGCGTAAAAACATACTCATACACTCCTGCCATGCTGGTTTAATATGTTATGGGATGGAAATAAAGTTTCAGCTGCAACTGAAATAACATACCAGCAAATTCATATTTTTCTGCCCTTCTGAGCCAGCCTTTTCTTATTTTAACTTTCCATACTCCATTTCTGTACTTTGCTTTAATCTTTACCCTCTGCTGTTCGTATTCGGCGATCAAGACAAAAACCAGCAGAAGTGCCACCAAATATTTCATCCTTCTGTAACATATAACATCACATTAAGTCAAGAATGCTTCATTTAAGTGATACAATCATAATTTGCCCAAACGACCTGATTCAACAAAAAACACACCACAACAGTGCTCATGTATGAGCTAAGTTATGCCGACGTATCTAAAATACCGTGAAGAAATGGGTTCATAATATAAGTCAACCATATCTATATTTGTTTGTTTGTTTGTTTGTTGTTTGATGTTTATCGTCAAAGTCGTACCAGTCGCTTACTTATTTAATTCGAAATAGCAACCAGCTACAAATGTGAGAAACTCATCAGTTTTGTAACATTATTTTGATGGTAAGGTGTGAGTATTGAACCTACAGAACTGCTTCTTTTGTGTCACCTTTCAGATCAGAGTCAGTCTTTGTTATGGCCCCTGCTACGTGATGATACACGACGCTGAGTAAGCTGTCGATTAGGTTCGATTTAACCAGTAAATAGCGTTAACACAGTTATGACACTTTCATCATAACGTAAAAGACATTCCCTTTCTGCTCCACTGTATCACCAGGAGTGAACCACTTACTACGCACGATCTCACTTCCACAAGGGGGCACGGGTGGCCCAGTCGTCTAAGGCGCCGCGATTCGCTGTGCAGAGTTGCGTCCCTTGGGCACGCCACAAACCTATGATTGTGGGTTCGAATCCCGGTTCACCCCGGTTATGTTTCTAGGTTTGTCAGCACCATACCCTTGCTCGTGGGTTTCACCGAAGTGCTAAACGTCTGAGACCCGCATCACTTCGGGCTTTCCTCCAATATTAAGCTGACACGCCGTAATATGACTGGAATACTTAAAAGCAGCGTTAAACCCAATTCACTCACTCACTCACTTCCACAAATTCCATGTCTTCGGGTGTCTAACTCGCATTTATTCTCAGGAAACTACTGACCATGTCGTTTGAAACAGCCGCCTTTTCCCTGATCTAATAGTTTGGCCTGTCAAGATATGTGAATAAATGAAACAATCACCTGATTTAAGCCACAGTATGTTTTCATACGCCTGGAATGTTTAATAATCTCGTCATATTTGTCTACTTAAGAGTGTGATTAGACTATTGATTCCAATGTAATCCCGCTACACAAAGTCCTTTTCTCATATATAGTAGCAACCCTCAAATATAAAATGGGGGCGGTCGGGAGCCTTGTGGTTAAAGCGTTCGCTCGTCACGCCGAAGACCAGGTTCGATTCCCGACATGGGCACAATGTGTGAAGCCGTGATATTGCTGGAATATTGCTAGAAGCGACGTAAAACCATACTCAGTCAGTCAGTCAGTAATGTAGGAGGAAAGCCCGAAGTGATGCAGGTCTCAGACGTTTACCACTTTGGTGAAACCCACGAGCACGGGTATCTTTATACAACGATATCGGTATACAACGATACCGTCGGTATCGGTATGAAAGTGACAGTACACGTTCTCATGCTGACATTCTTTCCTACCCGGAACTTGACAGCATACTTTTGGTTACAATGAGTAAAACAGACCTTTTTATAACACTCTTACTTTGAGCATATCCGTAACCCAAATTGTAGTTTTTTTCAATATGCTTCTTATGCCTTTATCTACATCTCGTAAGACACTCAACTTGTATCAATGCTTTTGAGATTTTGAGTAGAATAGGTCTTCCGCAACCCATGCTTGCCGTAAGAGGCGACTAACGGGATCGGGGGTCAGGCTCGCTGACTTGGTAGATGCATGTCATCGAATCCCAATAGCGTGGATCGATGCTCATGATGTGTTGGATTATCTGGTCAGGACTCGATTAATTACAGACCGCCGTCAAAAAGCTGGAATATTGTGGAGAGCGGCGTTGAACAACAAACAAACAAACAATGCTTTTGATTTTCAAACATAACTCAAAGATTAAAAGAACCAATTAGCCTCAAAAAGGCACCTTATTAAATAACAGGACCTTCCTTTACATGCCCAAGTTTAACTCTAGATCTCATAGATTGTTGTTTATCTCACTTACTCTCAATTTTAAACACTGCAAAATGCACACATAAACATATTTAAATCATTGAACATAATGGCAAACGACTTACCGAGAATGGTGTTCCCTTCCAACAGTTTCGTGGAGAGAAATGCAGCTGTATTTATACCGTCAAAGTGGAATATCAAACATGGACAAACACTTACAAAAGGTGTGGAATTATCACTGTTGACTGATACGCCCTTGGCAACAGAAGGTGGTAGGTCCGCTTGGTGCTCTCAGCTCTGTTCAGGTTGTCTGATATATCTGTCACCACACGATGGATTTTTAAAAAACCTTTTCACCACCTATTATTGGGGAGTGGTGGAAATGAAAACATCTGGAACGGACCGAGGATGATGGTGATAACATATGATGATGTTCTTTAAAATTGACTGGTTCTATTCCACACAGGGATTACATTTCAAACATATGATACATACAGTAAGGAAGACAGAATATCAAATGAATCAATGAGTGAAAAATAACATAATCTGAAGTGTTCAGTCATACAGTGACGAGCATAAGCTATGTAATTAAAATATATTAATTAATTACAATGTTAAATGACAGCATACCCGTGAAGATCTGGGCTCGATTTGGTCTTCAGCAAGCTATGCTTGTCTTAAGAGGCGACTGTACTTGTCGTAAGTGGCGACTGATGTGATCGGGTGGTAAAGCTTGCTAACTCGGGACGTGCATGTCATCGTATCCTAGTAGAGTAGATCACAGGATTGTCTGGTGCAGACTCGATCATTTACAGGCTACCGTCATACAGCTTGAATATTGCTGTGTGCGGCTTTAAACAACAAACAAGCAAACTCATGAAAGGGCAACAAAACTATTTTAGCAAAGAAACAATATTCAAAACTTTATAAAACACAATAATGGGGGAACACCTATAATCTGAATAGAGCACAATTTCATCTCCAGTGGCAGTAAGCATTATATAGTCTTGGGTAGAAGTTGGGAGAACATGAATACATGACCCCTTTCTTTGGATAGCAACAGCTTTTTTCTTTTATTCTTTGTACGACGTTTCAGATCTACTTCTTGCTCCTTCACCAGATGAATGTTTAGTAGGCGAATCGTGTTAATATATATATACTGAACCAAATTAAAAACTTCACAATCCTAAAATTGTAACATTTTGACCAGTTATCATTATGGGCCCTTATTGTGTATTTAAACAGTAATGGCCACGTATTGTCTTCAGATACCACCCGTTTTTGTGCAGGTGAATCGATCAAAATCATGTGCACAGCACTATAGTGACAAAAGTGCTTTTACACGTACAACTGGTCACGTGACCATAATACCGCACGTGTTTTCAGCCATACTTGTTAGCAGTCATTAACATAAAAAAGAAAAACATAAGAAAGAAAGTCGTTACGGCCATTTGTCATGCCACGCCTTTCAAATGTGCAACATGAACGTGCCATCGGCATGTTGCAGACGGGAACGCCCGCAGCTGAAGTCGCAAGGACGATGGGTTGTAGTCGACGGACTGTTTATGATTTACAGACACATCTACAGCAAACGGGTACCACCGCTGATCGCCCTCGGCCAGATCGACCACGTGTGACGTCACATGCAGAGGATCGTCAGATTGTCTTACGTCACCTCCGTAACCGATTTTTGACGGCTACATCAACCAGAAATGAACAGTTACTGTTTAAGGGTAGACTGAGAGCGCAAACTGTTCGAAACCGTCTGAGAACTGCTCACCTTCAAGCACGACGGCCATACTGCGGGCCGATTCTGACTCAATTACACAGACGTCAACGTCAATTGTGGGCACAGCGACACTTACGATGGACTCAATTGGAATCAAGTCGTCTTCAGTGATGAATCCAGATCTAATCTTCGATTTGCTGATGGTAGGGAGATGGTGTGGAGGCGCCGTCATGAACGTTACGCCCAGTGTTGTGTACAGGAAGTTGACATTGCGAGGCGGAAGTGTCAAGGTGTGGGATGCTTTCTGTGGCAATGCACGTTCCAGGCTTCTTGTCATCCGTGGCAACCTCAACGCTGCTACTTATCGCGACCAGGTACTGGCAGCAGAACTTCTGCCTTTTATGGCAGCACATGGACCCGGTTTGGTCTTCAAACACGACAATGCCAGACCCCACACAGCAATTCAGAATGCGGGAGTCAACGTCATGGACTGGCCGTCAAGGTCTCCCGACCTCAATCCCATTGAACACATCTCGGATGCTCTTGGCTGAAGTCTGCGCACTCTCCAGAACCAACCACAGAATTTGCAAGATCTTTCCACCATTTTGCAGCAACAATGGCGTCGTCTTCACAATCATGTGTTCACAAGCATCACAAGGTCCATGCGGAGGCGGTGTGTTGCAGTTGTCAACGCACATGGTGGCCATACACGCTACTGAACTTGTGTGCCATCAGATTCTCGTGCTTGGGACTTATGATTTAAACTGTTGATGTTATTACCGAATACCGTAGGTGCTTGGAACAAATTATGGTTACCACCGTTAATTAAAATCCTTCTTTGGACATTAATGATTAAAAATTACCTTCTCTGATACATTTGTCCGTTGTATATCATATATGTGATTCCTTTTGAAAATGTGAAGTTTTTAATTTAATTTTCATGTATCATGATATTTTTACACAACGCAAGGTGGGATGAATTACAAAGGAAACATAAAAAGTATCATGCATTTAAACATGATGTACCTCAAAATTTTGTGCTGAGAAGAAAGAAAAAAACACCACATCGCACCACAAACAGACACCCACGCAAGCCTGCACGCGCGCACACAAGCACGCAAACACACACACACAGAGACTCACACGCACGCACGCACACACACACACACACACACGCACACACACACACGCACGCACGCACACACACACACACATACACGCGCACACGCACACACACGCACGCACACACACACACGCACACACACACGTGCATACACACACCTAAACACCTGCTGGAAGAGACTTTCCACAAATAGAAATTTTGAACAAATAAAATATGTTGCGCACCAACGCCACTAAGCCAAGATAGGTCTTGTTATTGTCCTTCATAAGTATTTAGTTTTTTCAGGATTTGCGAAATAGGTTTATTCATGCGAAACTACCGTAAACTATCATAACTCCATCACTGAAACGCAATTTGAAATGGACGTATAATTATACAGACTATATACACTTGTAATGAGTGTATGCCGTACGGGCCTGTGATCTGTTCTGATTAAACAATACGATCTGTGCATAAGGACATAACGCCTATCGGTAGGAGTTATCAGTCAGAAAAATCAGCATTTCTGCATAAGCAAATAATAAATGTACATTTGATACCAGATGACGCTCAATCTACGAGTACATGTCAAATCGTTTTTAACAGTTGCTGAAATATGGCGTGGCCACAATTATTCATGAACAAAGAAATCAGGTGCCGAATGCACAGATGGGCTTTGCATTACAGACATTATTACGGGATATTGTATATTTCCAGATGTGGAGTATTTCAATACTGCGCCATGGTTTTTATGTAACTTATACAATTATAAAGCATATGCACCTTTCAATTTTGCCATGTCTTCATTTTTGAATGACAACTTCTCTACAAAATACTTTAGATAGAGATAATGGACATTTATCACCCTTTTGGTTTATCAGCGAGACAAACTGATATATTGTAACCTTGCTTAAGTAACGGTGTCAACCCTCCTTTTCTCCTTTGGTATAAGTAACACGTTACTTTACATATAGATAATAAAGAAAAGGTTGTCTCTAAATACCATTGCACAACTATGCTCATAAGTTAAATTATCAGTGAATAAAACTACGTGTGGATACCATGTAACTCACGTAAATCAATAACGTGTTGTGTACAAAGTGCACCGTTTTCTCCGAACATGGTACACACATTTTGTACAAATTTCACAGTTAGATGAATGCATATTTCTAAGCTTGGCAAACGCAGCTTTAATGAGCCTTTCTATACACTTTGGGATACCATTGTGACACTTTTGTGTATTGGTATTAAAATAGTGCATAAGTGTTATCAGAATGTAACATATGTTATATTTGGGATAACACTTTCTTTGTAGAATAGATCTTCAGTAACCCATGATTGCCGGAAAAGGCGACTATGCTTGTCGTAAAAGGCGACTAACGGGATCGGGAGGTCAGTCTCGCTGACTTGGTTGATGCATGTCATCGATCCCAATTGCTTGGATCCATGCTCATGATCTTAATCACTGGATTGTCTGGTCCAGAATCGATTACTTTCAGACCGCCGACATATAGCTGGAATATTGCTGAGTGCGGCGTTAAACAACAAACCAGCCAAATGTAAAGCACAAAGTCTGGTACTTGTGTTTGGCTATTGTCTCATCTGGGATTCGAAACCATACTTCTCTGAGTGAGGCACCTAATCGCAAGCGCACAAATTCAGCGATCTAACCCACTCTGACACCGAGGCTTCCACAAAAATGGAACAACGTGTAAATTGATACGGCTCCCATGGCCGAAAGCTGTGACGACACAATGCCTATTAAAAAGTGGTCAAATGTAACAAATGTTATATTTGCCACATTTCATAGGTTTTGGCCATGGGAGCTGTGCCAAATTGAACGGAACCATGGAACGATAGAAGTAAAAGAAACGGAATGTACAGGTGCTACACAAAATGACGGAAGCATATTACAAGACCTACATGTATTATTGTTTCCCCCGAAAAAGGAGAAAAACATTAATATTTTTCCGTTGCAGAAACAGGACAGCACAGCAATTGGAACCTTCATGAAGATTTTCGGATTAAAAAGTTTAAAAGTTTTTATTCTACGTTTGACAAATGTTATAAATTACAAAAAGTATATTTATTAAACTCATGAACTTTGATAACCCACTTTTTCTAAAACTTCAAGCCAGTACTTTGTCGAATCTGTTTTATAGACGCCAATTCTATATATATGACGTGTAAATATGTAGTCACATCATATTTGTTACTGTTTAGTATCAATTGTTTTTGTCAATTTATGGCTGTATAACTTATTGCTCCTGTCTTTAACATTTTAATCAACCGTTCCTGCCTGTTGTCAGTGATGTGCAGCGCGCAGAGAACAGCTTGCTTCATGACGCGAATCTCTTATCCCTACAAAGATGCATCATGAAGAGTGAAGTGCTATGATATGCAAATTTCGTTCCCGGTACA